AAGCTGGGCTGTCAGGAACAGGCAGGTCTCCACGGTGACAGGAGGGGGGAAGTGGGGCCGTTTCTGGTCTGGCATGACGGACCCTGCTGGCCGCCAGCATGGCCTCGCTACACGGGCGCCTGGGTCTGAAGGGTCCTGGCTGTCCTGAAGTGGGTTCTGGCAGGGTCTGAGTCTCCAGGGTGCTGTTCCAGGCCTCGGTACTGGTGTCGGGGGTACGAAGCACCGCAGGGAGGCCTCTTGGGAAGGGCCTCGTGCGAGAGGCGCTCAGGACCTGGAGGATCCTTGAGTGATCGAAGGCAGCTGTTTGTCACCCCAGCCCTTGCATCAGAGCCAGACCCTAAATGCAATTGAAGCTTAAGCTTGAGGCCTGAACCCCATGGTGGGGCAGTCCTCCACCATGGCCTGTGCCTCAGTTTCCCATCCGTCTCGAAGATTAGCATATTGTGAAACTTCTGGGCTGAGTGTCTGTCACGTCCCTCCCTCACCAGCATTGGAACCACAGTGACCCAAGTTGGGGTGGCCTTCTGTCCTCCGCCCACCACCCCTCCTGAGCTCCTGAGTGCTGGCGATTCGGGGACTGGACTGCCTTTGACAGTGACCATCCTGGTGGGGATGAGGATAGATGCCGCCAGAGGGGCAGGGGCGCCCTCACCCAGGGGCCGCTTGGAGGGCTCTCTGGGGGAAGTGAGTGCCTTCGCACACCGAGGCCCAGACCCGCCGTCAGCCGTGGGCCCTCGGGACGCAGCCCACCTGGCCACGGCCTCCCCCAGGCCGTGGAGGATGTTGTTATTTGCATAGCGTCCCTGAGAAGGCAGCTGGGACTAAGCAGAAGTGATTCACTTTCATTAACTGAAGGCTAGACTGTCCGTATTTTAAACCTGAGGTTGGGTCTGGCCGTGGCTGGGCCTTTTCAGAACCATCTGACCCCATGGAGGCGCTCAGCCCTGGTGGTCCCCGCCCAGACCAGAGGGAGCTTTAGACTGAAGACAGGCATGTAGAGCCAGCGTTTACTGATTCACCTGACAAACACTCATAGGGCCCCGTTCTGAGTGGCTCCGTTGTGGGAGATGAGAACATAGCGGGAACCACTGAGGCAAAATCCCTGCCCACCCCCAGAGTTACGTTGCACAAGGGGAGACGAACCACAGATGAGATAGAGAAGTGAACCCCACAGGTGGTCCCCTGGTGGTAACGGCTAAAGCAGAGGGTGAGCTGGGAGCAGGACTAGGAGGTGCTGGGGGGGGACCCAACCAGACCTGACCTCACGGGGAGGTGACACGGGGACCCTCAGAGAGGACAGACCGGGTGGGGCAGGGCGATGGAGGAAGGCGGGCCCCAAGGGGCAGGCGTGTGGGGCACTTCCTCTGCCAGGGTTGTTTTCGGGGTGGCTGGGGCCATTTCCTAGACAAGGGGACTGAGGCGCAGGGAGGCGCAGGGAGGAGGGCTGGCCTGCTTTTCCCGCCCTGGCTCTGGCAAGTTGGGGCTGGCCCAGCCCTGACTCTGGGCTCTGTACAGACCACTGTGCCGATGTGAGTGTGGGCACAGCCACACACCTGCAAGACACCCTATGCCTAGAGGTCTGGGGGCGATGGTGAAGTACCGAGCATCCATGCTGAGCGAGCGCTTCCCCGATGCTGTCCATCGGCCTGGTGGAGACCTGGGTGGGCTCCCCGCGGCCGGTGTCCCGGCGCCCCGCGTGCTCACTCTCATGGCCTCAGCCGCAGCAATCAGCTCAACTACCCGCTCCCCCAGCTTTCTAATCGAAAAGGAATTTGATGAGGGAAATGATAAGCAAACAGCAGCCGAGAGTGGTTAAGACGCTCACTTGGGGAAAATAAATCAGCCGCATCAGATCTAGGAATTTCAATGCATCTTAGGAGGAAGATATGCAAAAAGAAAACAGTGAAACATATTTTAAGGGGCAGGCTAGAGATGCAGAAAGACACGCTCAGTGGGAGCAGGAGGTTTTAAAATCTCCCCCTCCTTGACCCGGCCCTTCTCATATGTTGTCAGCAGTCCTGCTGAGGATGCATTTAGGAATGGGAAACTGAGGCCCAGGCCGCAGAGTGGTGGAGTCAGGACTTGAACTCCAGCCTCTTGGGTGCAGAGGATGTGGGATCAGGAACACAGGGCCTAGAACCTGCTTCTGCCTGGGCTGGACTCCTGGCTCCATTGCCTACTGGCTGTGTGACCTTGGGCCAATTATTGAACCTCTCTGTTCTTTGTTTCTGCCTCTGTAAATTGGGTGATAATGGTGCCTCCCTCAAGGTGGTTCTGAGGGTGAGAAGTGAAGCCAGGCCGAGCTCTCTCGGGGCTATGCCCCCTAGGGTCACATAGGAAGCCCTTGGTAGGTGAGACCAACATGCACAGTGCATTGGCTGGGCCTATGTGCAGTGGTAGCTCTGAAGTGGGTTGGTGAGGGCAGAAGGTTCCCAGGCCTGGGAGTGGGGTAGGCAGAGAGAAGGGGCATGTGGAGACCCCTCCGTGATCACCTGCCGCAGGTGGATCTGGGCGGGGGGAAGGCGGATGGGATAGCGTCTCAGCTCTGCATGGATGGGTCACCTGTGAGACGTGGTGCTCACCCTACCTGGCCTCGCACAGGCTGACCATGTATGACCAGTGACGTCCCAGGAAG